CTGAACCCTAAGATAGGCACCGGGGTAGCTTGTCGAACGAGCTTCTTCCTCCCCTCCGGCGAGTTTCTTCCTCCCCTCCGGCTATTTCTTCCTTCGACTGACCGAACTACGAAAATTCAGTCGACTGAAACGTAGCTATTTCGGATAGCAAAAGACTAGGACGTCGATATCCACCTGACGTTCGGTCCAGGAGCTTCCCAGACAGAATGAAAGGTTCGGTGTGTAGCTCCCCCTCGAACGAACCAAATCGTTCAGTAGGATCACCCTACGCCCCGAACAAACTACGTCAGCCATGACCTTCATGGGCCTCCTGGCCCAAAACAGTTACCTATTTACAAAAAATTAGAACAAACATATGTAATAAGTATTTTGCCATGTAGTGTACAAAATTGTAAACGTCATATACAATACTAGAATGCAAAAACACAAAAATTCATATGATGGAAGTAGTTTGCCATGACAACATAATTTCGAACAAATGCCATGACATACACAATATAATTACCAAGATATATTCAAAATGGGACGATGACAACTTCAACAGAAAAAAGCATGGCCAAAACAGATTGCGATGGTAGACTAATTTGCCATGTGTGTTGAACGAAAGTCATATAGTTGCCAAAGTGAGCTGTCAACACCTAATTTGCCATGCCATGAAAAATAAATTTGCCATGGGTCCATGAAAAAACTAAAGTAGTCGTCCATATGAAAATAAATTTGCTATGTCTTAAAAAATAAATTTTCCATGCTCTTGGGTAAAAAATAAAATTTGCCATTATCTATTAAGAAACTAAAATTATCGTGGAACTGGAAATAAATTGTCATGGCTATGAAAATTAAGTTTCCATGTATTTTGAATATAAAATTGTTGTGTTCGACTGATTCAGATTACCATGATTCCAAGAAGTTAAAGCAAACTTGGAATCATGGCAAAATATAGACGAAAAAATGTACATGGAAAATTTTGAACTTTTCGTTCTGTAGCTGACGACACATTCAAAGAAGACAAAAACTACATTGAAATGGCAATTTTATTTAAAAAAATATGACGATGAACATAGTTCATTGACAAGTTAAAAAAACAAAAGTCTATAAAATCATGGCAAATGATCTAATAACATTGACATGGATATGAAAAAGAAATGATCTCTGTATTCACAAATTTTGTAAGTTGATTATAATGTAGAAAAAGAACATGTAAAAAGTGTCATTAGCTCGTGGCAAAAGAAAGGTGAAATAATTTCCATGGCCATTTTGTAAACTATGAAAATTGGGTGAAATTGCCATGGTCCATCAAAGAAAAAGTTTGCCGTAGAAGTCAACCAAAAAGAAATTTACCATGGTCCACAAAAGTGAAATTGCCATGGTATAAGGAGAAGAAAGTTTGCCATTATTCCAAATTGCCATTGTCTTGAAAAAAGAAACTTGCCATGGGCATATAAGTGAACATGCCATGGGACATCTAGTGAATTTGTTGTATTCCATAATAATAATAATAAAATTTGACATTGTCTTTAAAAAACAAACTTGCCATGGTCATATAAGTGAACTTGCCATGGGACATCTAGTGAATTTGCTGTATTCCATAATTAAAAAAAGTTTAACATTGTATTGGAAAGAGAAACTTGTCATGGGCATATAAGTAAACTTGCCATGGGACATCTAGTGAATTTGTCGTATTCCATAATAAAATGAGTTTGACATTGTCTTAAAAAAGGGAAACTTGCCATGGGCATATAAGTGAACTTGCCATGGGACATCTAGTGAATTTACCGCATTCCATAATAATAAAAAATTGTCTTGAAAAGAGAAACTTGTCGTGGGCATATAAGTGAACTTGCCATGCATGGGGCATCTAGTGAATTTGTCGTATTCCATAATAAAAAAAAAGAGTTTGACATTGTCTTGGAAAAAGTAACTTGCCATGGGCATATAAGTGAACTTGCCATGGGGCATCTAGTGAATTTGCCGTATTCCATAATGAAAAGAAAGTTTGACATTGTCTTGAAAAAAGAAACTTGCCATGAGCATATATGTGAACTTGCCATGGGGCAAATTCACTAACAAATTCTGCCATGCCTAAAAAAAGTTTGCCATTGTCCCTAGAAAATCGCCAAGGTTATTTGGCATGGTCCATAATTAAAAAGTTTCATGGCAAAGAAAAAGTTCCGTAGCAAATAAGGAGTAAAAATTTCCATGGCAATAATATTTAAATATATGGCATGCCGATATAGGTTCAGTTCCTAATTTATCTCAAGCCTAAACCGGAAAATGAAACCTATTCCTCGGGGTCCCCCCTTTCGGCTATCAATTACTTTTGCCATGGTCCATATAGTAACTTTGTCATGTTAGAGATATAAAAACTAGCATACTTTTGAAGAAAATGGTGGATCACTATTTAAAGGATGGCAAGAATGCCATGTTGTAGAAAGATTCAGAAATTTTTGCCATGGCAAACATATCACAAGGACCATGGCAAAAAAGAGTAAAACTTTTCATGTCATTAATTGCCATGGCAAAAGTAGAGTGAAATCAGAGATGAATAGACATGGCAAATTTGCCATGTGAAAACTGAAAAGTAGCTTAAATAATTTTGATGAAATTATTTGTAGACCATGGCAATACAAACATGTTTTTCCATCATGAATTTTTTGAATCCATAAAGCAGAGTTGCCATGGTCAATGCAGTCATTACTTCATTGTTCATATACTAATTGAAGAAACCAATCCCTGGTTCATCAAACATGGGACAAACATGGATGTGTGTGACAGGATAACATCACAATTTACACAAAAAATGAGGATCAAAATGCTCCAAATCGAGTAGTGTGGCGTCCATCATCAGCAAAATATGTGGGGAACAAGAAGGAAAAATGCACATTGCACGAGTCGTCGCCGGATCTGACGGAGGTCATGGGTACCGGGCCGTGCTCCTTGACGTCCTTCTCTCCTCTGTGTCGTCTTCCTTGCGGAGGCACGCATGGACGCGGTCGTGGGGGCGCCGCTGCTCGTCGCTGCCTAAGCCTCGGTGCCGCCGCCCCCACACGCTTCCTCGAGCTTGAGGCTCCCCCAGTAGCCACGTGCTACCGCCGCCGCCCAGCACCTCCGCGGACACCTCCCCCCGGCCGTGGTCGAGCTTCCCTGAACTGGTCTGCCATGAGTAGTCGCCGCCATTCCCCCACGAGCAGTCGTCGCCGCTCACCCACCGCAAGCAGCACCTCCGCGGACTCATCACCCTCCTCTTGGCCCCTGCTATCCCTCCGGTGGGGGGACCTGGTCAGTGACGGCCCTCGCCGCTGTACTTCTCCATGTACCGAGCGAGAGGGGTGGGATTTCAGTCAGAGAGCGGTGGGAAAAAGGGGATGCAGATAACATAGGTGAGGCGTTCGCAGCGACATGTCTTTTATCCGAACGAGAAAAAAGGATGATGTGGCAGAAGTCCTAGCTCTAAAATTCGTGCCTGAAATCAACGGTGATTAGCTCGTTCGGGACGAGGCGCCTGAACATGGCATGTTCGGCAATTATCAATAACGATGACACCAGCACAACAACAGCATGCCATCCCCTGGGTACAGCATGGCACCAATTTATGTTCATCAAAATCTGTATATCAAGATAATCACTTCTTTTCCCTTTGCAGCTATTGTTCCTAAGAATTTGAAAGAAAGTAAAGAATAATTTTATAGAAACAATTCCTTTGAAGCCCATTGGTTTGTAGGACTGTTTCCTATTCTATGTAGGATAGAATCAACCCTTCATATTTTAAAGGAAAACAAATAATCTCTCCCTTTCGATTTATAGGGCTCAAATCTCATCAACCAAGGCATTTTATATCTCGTATTTTAAAAAACTATCCCAATTAAACTCATGTATTAGTTTAGATTAATTACAGTGCATACATACTTAGCCACTAGATGAGTAGGAACATTACATGCATTGGTGTGTTCATTTTAAATTCTTGCATGCAAAGAATGCAAAAAGGAGGCCTATATCATTTTTGAGGCATCACTGCAGTCTGAACATATATGGCGGAAGAGATGCAGATGGGGATTGCCGGTGGCCGGAGAAGGCGCCGTCTCTGCTGGCTAAGTAAGCGTCCAACACAAAAAGGACGTAGCCACAGGCGCACAAATGACAGAAGACCGAAAAGAACAGCTCTAACATTAACGAGAAGACAGAATAGCAACATAGAGTATCTGTTGGTAAGAACGGACGGGCACGTCCACGGACGAGCTGCTGCGGCAAACTCAAGACAAACCCCAAAACCGAAAACGCAACCTAACAGAATGGAGCGCTCCAATAGTTTAGTTTTACAACTCCTGCTCCACTTCTCACGGATCAAAACCACCTCTTATGCTTCCTCCTATCGCCATGGGGCATCAGTTCCTTGCCCCCAAAATGCCCCTCTCGTGGTGAGGGACACGCTGATAACCATTCGACTTTCCACGGCTACCGCTGTACTCGTCACCTCTCGCATATCCTCTGCCACTGCCGCCAAAGCGACCTCTGCCTCCCCCCCTTCCTGCAAATGCAGGACATAAAAAACATATACAGAGCTCAGGGTATCTTCACAAGCACGGCTCACACTTCTGCTAGCAGCTTACATTATTCATTTGAATAGGGCAAATGCATCAAAATGGACAACTATTGAGAAAGAAACCAACTTACTTCCTCCCCTTATTCCACTGTTAGGCTTCCGCTCCTCGACATATATCTGCCGCCCATTTATTTCAAGTGGTGAAGCCTGAAATCCACCAAGATGGTTTCAGATTATGACTAGCTAAACTATGCTAAATAACAACGATCATCACTACAGTTGAACAAGCCAAACCTAAGCAATATAATTTTTAAACGAGAAATTAAAGAATTATTAAGAGTATCAAATGTGAATTCCAATAAACAACCCTCAATGCATTGTGAACGCCACTCAGTTCCTCGAATTCCACAAAAGCATAGTAGCCACCAGTCTCCTGCAAATTCCACCATCAATCAAATGAACATTTGCTCATGTTATATACCAAGTGGTGAATCAGAATCAGAAAGCCAATTCAATTGCAAACCTTTCGGCTTCTGATAGCAACACCATCAGGGATGAGCTGGCCAAACTTCTTGAACTCATTCTCAAGATCAGCCTCAGTTACATTTTGCGGCACATTCCCAACATAAACAGATTTGCTCTCTAATTTATGAAATAAATATTACAATCAGCAAACAGTGGGGAACTTAAACAAACAAATGTAAATTAGGCAAGCATAAAGACAGAAAAACCTTCTTCATCATGGCCTTCTGCGTAGAAGTCAGATTTTGGCTTATCTGCTGCCACCGATGAAGTCCCTAGAGTTGCCTGGCTTGCTTCTGTTGTAGGGTGAGGTTTATTCACAGGCACTGATTGAGCAAAAGGGAACGGAGGTGGGGCTTTTGCGGTTCTTAGCTGCATCATCAGAATCATCATTTTAAAGACATGTCATCTAGATAGCACAACACAATGCATATGAAGGAAAGGAAGGTCCCACATACAATAGAAGCATATGTCTTCTTTACGGGCTCCCCAACAGGTTCCTCAACATGAGGCTGCACAGGCGGAGGTTGTGCTGGCTCCTCTGGTGCCATCGCCATTCCATTCGAGAAGGAAGAAAGTGCTTCCTCTTGAAGAGATTCATCTCCCCAGTTGTCCGACTGAGAAACTACTTGCAGTGGTGGCTCAGAGTAAGTGTAACTGTCAACAGCATCATTTTCTTCAGATGTTACTGGAACAGCTTGCATTGTTCGACTTTCTTCATGAATGTACTCTGCACCTGCAGGCAGAGCATTTAAACAAAATGCCAACAAAACTTTGAAGCAGCAACGATACAGGACCATGGACATTATCAGGAGACACTAATATTTCTCCATGGAAGCATTATAATTTGGAACAATCTGTGCTCAGCTGGTGTAAAATCTAAACTACCATTTCTATTATTGCCCAGAGATATTAAACATAATGACTTGCATGAACATTCTCAACACAGTGTACCTTATTTACGTTGCCACTGGAAAAAAATTTGAAATCTTATTTGGAGTTAAATCAACTGTATGTACTCAACGAAGAAATAGATAAGGGAGAGACGGTCAATACAGGCAAGCAGATATTGCGCGTGCTGTAACATATCCATAACATCATTGGCTATTTCATGGGTAATAACAATTAAAATGCAAAGACCAATAGTTTATATATTTATTTAGGATGATAAATCTTACTTGTTTGGACTGTGTTGGATGCCATGTTAGTCTCAAAGGCTTCGTGAGCTCTCACCTGTGCAGGTTGCACTTGTTCTTGGTCAACAAAGTGGAAATAATCATTGAGCACAAAATAACCTTTCTCCTGAGGCGCAAGGAAAAACATCTGGATAAATTTCCTTTGGTTGCTGTACTCTTTGGTCTGTACAAGACCAGAGACCATCACTAGCACCCCATCTCCCCATGAGTTGGCAAAGTTGGCAGTTTTTATCTCGATTTGGGTGAAATTGAGGGACATGATAAGGGAGTGTATATCCTGCAGGCAACAAATTTGTTATTATAAAGTAACAAAGGAAACAAACAAAAAAGTGGCAGACTCAAATTGCATATATAATTGAGTTGTTTAGGGGCAACAGGTGTATTTGAACCAGCAGAGCAAACAAACAAAACAGCATAGAGGGCAACAGAACAGCATCAATAAGTCAACGAAGAAAAGGCGCAAACAAAACGACTAATAAGTATGCAACTCAGCAGATGGACAAACACCACATACAGGACAAACTAATGATGCAACATGGCAAGGTAACATACCATGAGCGCAGAAGTTATGCTAAAACCTACATGAATGCCAAGCATTGAGATGGTAAAAATCAGTCAAAACACTGACAGTCCAAAATACCACAAAAGCACAGCCCAAATATATATAAACCTTAAATAGTTGACACATACTGTATAAAGGTAATATATAGATTGTGAGAGATAGCAACCATCATTGAGTTAGCAGTGGTGTTGGTCCCGTTGAGGTCGTCGACGCGGACCATGGTGCTTGCTTCGCTGTAGAACTGGTGGACGACATCGGGGTTCTGCTGCAACAGATTGTAGTAGTTGCGGAGGAAGTAAGTGCCCACCTGCCAGCCAAATCCAATCGCAACATCAGTCACCGATCCGAGCATAAGAGGGCGCAAAAGGTTCGGGGGAGACAGAGATAAGGAAGGGGGATTACTTGAGTCGCCGCCGCCGCCGAAGCCATGGGGAGTGCAGTGGAGTAGGGAATAACCCTAGATCTGCTGATTCCGCGGGCAAGATCTAAAAGGGAGAGCGTCTCGAAATCCGAAGCCGCTGCAGCAGCAGCCGCCGCCGTGAGAGGATGTGTCCGCCCTGATTGCTCGTGCGTATTCGCGTCTGCACCTTTCGCAGGATGGAGAGGAGAGGAGAGGAGAGGAGAGGAGATGGATTGGCGTCGCGTGGGTGGACTCGACTCGACTCGTCTCTTATGACGGCCGGGAGGAGGGGCACGAGGGGAGGGAGAGAGATACCGGTTGCCCTTGCCCTACGATGCGATTCGATCTCACTTTCCTTTCAGGATTCTGTTGGATTTCCTGGCCTATCGTCATTTGGGCTTCAGTTTGGCCCATGGTCTCCACTCCAAAAAACAAAAACTTAGCCCATGGTCTAGGCCTTTTTTTATTATTATTAAAAGATGGTATACGGTCATTCATCTAAAAAAGAAAAAAAAATCCCTCAAAAAAATTCTAAAAATTAAAAAATGGTATAGGGTCATTTGCAGCTCGTTCTACCGCTTATTCTTGTAGTTTTATTTTTAAAATTCAAGATAGTAACATAGAAGTTCATAGCTTAGCTAGATATGCTCTTAATCTAGCTCCACGAAGTCTTGTGTGGTTTGGCCAACCACATAATGTAAGCATTATCCCACTCTCCGTGGAATTCGATCAATACAGTATAGGCTAACCCCTAAAGAAAAGATAATATAGGGTCATTTGGGGCCTATGTGTTGGTACCAAAATATTTTGATGGATTTTTTCATATGTGCTAAGTTTTAGGAGGTTGGCTGTTTGTTCATTTTTTTTCTTAGATCCATTTTTTAAACGACATATCTCGTGAACGGTGCATCTAAATTACAAACTATTTTCATTGTTTAGTTTCTTAGGCCGAGATCTTTAAAAGTATTTCCCATGTTAATTTTGACGAAAAAAATTGGCAAAATTTGTTCTCCAAAACTATACTAACCCGTGTTCTCACACTGTACTAATATGTGCTACCAAGCGAACTAATTTGTGCTCCGACGGGTGAGGCCCACATGATGCTCTGTGTGAAGCACACCTATGCTCCCAGAGTGAATTAATATGTGCTCCCAATTTGTACTAACATTTGCTCCCAAGTGTAATAACTTGTGCGCTCGTGGGGTGAAGCACACATGTGCTCCCAAAGTGAACGAACATGTGTTTTCAAACATATTGTACTAACTTCCTAGCTGAACTAACTTGCGCTCTCGTGGGATGAGGCGCACCTTGTGCTCCCGCGTGATGCACACATGTGTTCCACAAGGGAGCACACATGTGCTCTTGCGTGAAGCACACAAATCATTCCCCTTGTGCCTTTATAAGGCGGTCTCCATCTCGACCAGGACGAAAATGATTTGCCTTTTGCTGAACTTCTCTTCTCCATTTTCGTGGTGTGGATCGCTTCTCGTGCTTTATCGTATGAAATCTTCTCAGCAAACCCTTTTGAGGCTCTTCCAGATGATACCATCACGACCCGTGTGAGCAAGATGGTTCAACCGAGGGATTGTTGGAAGATGAGGAACACTTCTGCCCATAGCTCTTGTTGGCATGGACGAGGGTGAGAGAACGAAGATCTTGGTGGTGAGCGGTTTTATCATATTGTTCTTAGATATGTTGCTTACTTAGTGCCTTCATAAATGTGTTTAACTAATTGTATTTCTAGGAGTGCTTCTATGACTTCATAGGTTGGCCCAATTCGGATGTGCTAGTGGACAACCTAATCCCCACAACCATGAATGGTTGTGAGGACCCACAAGCGAGGAAGGTCGCTCCTCCTTTCCCTGGCTCATGCTTGGTACGCTTTCATTTTCTTCTCTGTGTGATTATTTCTCCGTCCGTACGTCTTCCCAATGCATGGTGACGGAGAACCCCTCGGGTCTGCCTCTTCTCCTAATTGTTAGGGTTACATCTTTCACTTTAGGCTACAGATGCATGCTGACGGAGAACCCCTCGGGTCTGCCCCATGTCTTGCAGAAGCACAGTCACTCCAAATTTTCGAGGGATAGTGGGTTCCTGCTCGGTCCAAGCTCCGGTTTGTGACCTCTAATCCTAGTAGTCGTTCTTTGATCCTATGACCTTGTCCTGGTGTGATTTAGTTTCGTGAGTTTATAATCGTCGGGTCATTATCATGATGTTGAGGGTGCCGCAAAGGGAGCATCTGAGCTCCTCAGATGGCACCCCTCCCCTGATACATCCCAAAGAATTATAATTTTTGTATGACTAGCAAAAGAGCATGTGCGTTGCAACAGGAGAAAAAACATAACACGCGCTCTTAACCCAAAAACCATCATTCAAGACCACAAATAGGTCCATATTCTTTACTTTAGCGAGGCACCATATTTGTGTTGCCGCTTATCCTCCTTCTCACCCTCGCCAGCGGTGGCCTCAGTGTTCACACTAACAAAAACGTGTTTGAATGTGGTTCATCCTAAGGCGTCTCTCTCGACCTCTCTCTCTCTATCGCTTTCTCTCACTCTCACGATAAGAACTGTTATTTTCCCCTGCAACGTTTTTCAAAGGTATGCATGTGTAGTTATCGATGTTTTGTTTTCCCTATATGGTTATAGTGGGTGTTTATTTGTAATCTGGATCACCGCCGGTACGAATGAAAAATGGATCGTGCACTATAGATTATAAGTTTGCTTCCAAAAAACATTTTAAAAATATTTAACAAGTAAAATTAACATCATATTCAGATTTCACATATTTTTCTAATCAAATTTCATAGATAACATGTTAAAATCAGAGTTACGATTTAAAAGATATGGATAATTTAGAAAATCATTTGTTTGACTTAAATATCTTCCAAAATAATATTTAAAAATACCTATGTAAAATAATCTCATATTCATATTTTACATATTTTTTCAATCAAATTTCATATATAGCATGTTCAAATCGGAGTTGCGTTTTAAAAGATATGGATGATTTAGAAAAGTATTTGTTTGACTTAAATATGATCCGCGGATGAATTGCCTAAAAGGTCAGGGGGTGAAAGCACAAGTGCTCCCTGGATGATTTTGGTAATTAATGTCAACATATCTCTTGTTGCACTAATGCTTTTATCTAGTGTATTTTAGACAAGTTCAACAATGGCGTGGAAAGGACAAGAGGATGTGGAACCCATTCAAGGCATCTAGGACATGCATTGGCAAAAGCTCACGACTCTTCATTTCTATTTTAGTGGTCCAAGATCACATTGAGTCCATAGGAAAGCCAATACTATTAAGAGGGGATGAGGTGTTGCTTAATGGCTTGCTTGCTGAAATGCTTAGTGATATGCTCCAAATCCCTCAAGCACTTTCTCATTCCAAATATGTCAATACCCTAAACTCCAACTCGGCCCCACCAATTCTTTCTATCTGGAGCCACCGAGTACATATGACATAGCCACTGCCGGAAACCCTGACAGTTCAGTCACACCGATACGGATCTCGGTCTCATCGAGATGGCCTTGCCAATTCTCTGTTGCCTATTGCAATTATTCCGGTCTCACCGAAATAGCGATCAGTCTCACCAAGTTGGCTTGACATTTTCTCTGTTGCCTTATTGCTTCACTTCGGTCTTACTGAGTTGATGCAAATGGTGCCACCGAGTTTATATTTGCCCTAAGTCCTAGCACATCGGTCCCACCGAGATTCCTAACATTCACATTTTGAACTAAAATCGGTATCACCGAGTTCTTCTATTCGGTCTGACCGAGTTGGGTCAAATGTGTGTAACGGTTGGATTTTGTGTGGAGGCTATATATACCCCTCCACCCCCTTCTCCGTATGTATGAGAGCCATCAGAACGTGCCTACACTTCCAGCATACATTTTCTGAGAGAGAACCACCTACTCATGTGTTGAGATCAAGATATACCAATCCTACCACAAGAATCTTGATTTGTAGCCTTCCCAAAGTTGCTTTCTTCCACCATATCCAAATCTGTGAGAGAGAGTTGAGTGTTAGGGAGACTATCATTTGAAGCACAAGAGCAAGGAGTTCATCATCAACACAACATATATTACCTTTTAGAGAGTGGTGTCTTCTAGATTAGTTAGGTGTCACTTGGGAGCCTCCATCAAGTTGTGGAGTTGAACCAAGAAGTTTGTAAGGGCAAGGAGATCGCCTACTTCGTGAAGATCTACCCGAGTGAGGCAAGTCCTTCGTGGGCGATGTCCATGGTGGGATAGACAAGGTTGCTTCTTCGTGGACCCTTCGTGGGTGGAGCCCTCTATGGACTCGTGCAATCGTTACCCTTCGTGGGTTGAAGTCTCCATCAACGTGGATGTACGATAGCACCACATATCAGAACCACGCCAAAAATCTCCATGTCTTCATTGCGTTTGCACACTCCAATCCCATCCCTTTACTTTCTTGCAATTAGCATGCTTTACTCTTTCCGCTGCACATACTCTTGCCATGCTTGCTTGAAATGTATTATGAATGCTTAAACTTGTGCTAAAGCTCCACCTTAACTTCAAGAACTTAAAAACTGGCACTTTTGCTTGTTAAGGGTCTAATCACCCCCTCCCTCTAGACCCCTCTTCTCGATCCTTTCAATTGGTATCAGAGCATTGGTCTCCATTGCTTTGGTTTAATCACCATTGGAGGAAGATGGATGAGTCTACGATCGGGAGTATTAGACATAGAGAGTCTATGCTTGACAAAGAGTTCTATAATTCTTGGAAGAATGAGATGCTTGAGATTTTCAATGAATATGACTTGAACAAGTATATCACTATCCCTCATGTACCCCTCCCATCGATCCCTTGCATCCTACCCCCGATGAGTATCTTGACATGACCCGCAATCTTAGAACTATTGATCTTATCATTAGAGGATTGCCTAGGAATTTGCTTGTATGCTTGCCTAAATTTGAATGTGCTTATACTATATGGAAATATCTTGAGGAGCATTTTCCAAATTAGTCCTTGAAAAATCTAGATGAGATTCTTCAAAAC